CAATTGTCAACAGGGGCACAAAACTAATGTCACACTGTCTAAAACTATACGAAAAAATAATAGAAAAAAGATTAAGAGACATAATTGAAATAAGAGAGACAGATTCCTGAAAAATATATAAGAATAATACAGGATATGTATATGGGCCATACAACAATGGTCCATAGCACAACAGGTACTTCAGCAGACTTCACAATAGCCGAAGGAGTTCATCAAGGGTCGGCTCTCAGCCCACTTCTCTTCATTACAGTAATGTATTAGCACAGTCTATACCTCAAACATTCCCGTGGAATATGATATTTGCAGATATTGTGATACTTGCCGAATCCAAGGATTAAATGAAAGAAAGATTAGTGAGTTGGATAAATATTTTAGACACGCACTAAAAATAAATAGAGAAAAGACGGAGTATAGGTGATAGGAGGAGATGAAACAGAGAGTATTGATATAAATGAATGGCAGATAGCGGCAATTGAAAGCTGCAAATATTTTGGCTCTATTATACAAACAAACGGCACAATAGAAAAAGAGATAAAAAGTAAAATTAATCAAGGGTGGTTAAAGTGGAGATCTTTATCTGGAGTCCTATTTGACAAAAGAATCCCATACAAATTAAAGGGAAAAATTTACAGTTCCATAGTATAACCAACTATTCTATATAGTTCGGAAACCAACCAAAAAATCAGACGGGAGAAGTCTTCAAACTATGGAGATGAGAATGCTGAGGATGATTGCTGGGGTAACAAAAAAGGATAACGAGCGCAGTACAAGAATACTAAGTAGTTTAAAGGCGTATCACGTCAATACCGCGAAACTTTTACCGCGAAATGTATTATCGCGAATGAATTATCGCGAATAAATTATCGCGAATGAATTATCGCGAATGAATTATCGCGAATGAATTATCGCGAATGTCGATTACCGCGTAAAGATATTATAGCGAATGCATTACCGCGAATGCATTATAGCGAATGTATCATAGCGAATGTATCATAGCGAATATATTAACGCGAATGCATTATAGCGAATGCATTACCGCGAAAATATTATAGCGAATGCATTACAGCGAATGTAATACCGCGAATGCATTATCGCGAATGCATCATAGCGAATGTATTATAGCGAATGTATTATAGCGAATATATTAGCGCAAATGCATTATAGCGAATGCATTACCGCGAAAACATTATAGCAAATGCATTACAGCGAATGTAATACCGCGAATGCATTATCGCGAATGCATCATATCGAATATATTATAGCGAATATATTAGCGCGAATGCATTATAGCCAATGCATAACCGCGAAAACATTATAGCGAATGTATTATCGCGAATGTTTCATAGCGAATGTATTAGAGCGAATACATTACAGCGAATGCATTATCGCGAATGCATCAAAGCGAATGCAATATCGCGAATGCATTACAACTAACATTATCACAATGCAATAGTGATTTATATTTGACAAAATTATATTTAACCCATTTAAGTTTCAAAAAACCAGAGAACCAGCTTAATTGTCTATATTTATTTAAAGTAGCATTTTAAAATTATTTACCTCTAAAACACGTCACTTGTTATTTATGAAATTCGTATTTTATTAAAAAATATGTGGAATTTGGTTTACTCAATTTTTTTAACGATTAGATTAAGTCGTTTTTTACAAAAGACCCTATTAATAAATATTTTAATATTTTATATTTTAAGATTGAATCTAGTAAAAGTTAATTTTTTCCCCAACAAGCCCCAAACCCCAGGCTTGTAGTTATATTGGTTTATTAAGTCTCCTATAGGATAATTGTTATTATCAATAATACACCATTTGTATATAAATAATTCATAAAAAATTTCAAAATGTGATATTTTATTTTAAAAAATTTTTAAGTTTTAATGAATTTTTTAATTTTTTTTCTAATTCTTTTGATTATCAACCACCAGAAAAGGTGAAAGTTAAAGGGAAAAAATAGAATTTAAAGCTATAATAGCCAATGAATACTTATTATATCATATTTTTAAGCATAATATAATTAATTCGACCTAATTCTACTAGCCCCTACGATATGATTTACCCTCTCCAGCGCTAAAAAAATATGTTGATAATTTTTTCTTTTTATTATAGTAAATGGTTTTAAATTTTTCATAAATATTTTTTAAAAAATAAGTGGTTATAATACAACCCTCCCCCAAGCCATATCTGGCAAAAAAAAATTTAAATAAGATTAGATGAAGGGGAACATTGGATTGAGATCTCTATCTTATTATCTCTTTTGTAATCGTCAAAATTATTTATTTTAAAGCTTTAAAACATAAAATCTTATCTTTTTTAAATTTAAATATTGTTAAATTTAAAAATAATAAATGCCAACTCCTGTTTCAAATATAAATCTTAAAATGATAAAAAATATATTTAATTATATATTTTGGTGGTTTCAATAGAGATGTTATGTGAATTTAGTTCAAATTTAATATTTTGTAAGTTATTTTATCATATTATTCTGCCTGAAAGAGAATGCCTACAATAAATATTTTTAAACATAATGATTATGAGACTTTCTGAAATGGGAAAAGAAGATTTTTTAATTTCATATTCTGTCTATTTCTAAATCTCACTGTGCAAATTGGTTTATTATTCATGATACGGTTTAAAACAATTTCAACTTTAAGAGAGACAGAAGGCCACAAATCCATATTTTTATGCCGTTTAATATTATAGTGAAAAACATTTTAATTATGCTTTAATATTATTTACTTATCTTAAATTCGGTATAAAACAATTTATAAAATACAGAGAAAATATTCAAAATAACGAAATTTGAAAACCCAGGGCAGGGCTTTAAATAATCAGAGCTAAAAAATGCTACCAGAGAACACAGGTAAATTAATTTATGACATTCTAGGATAAAGTGGAATATTAATTCAGTTCACCAAGCTAACCCCATGGTTATCATATAACTCATCAAGCTCCTTTTGTTTTTCAGCTAAGATTTTATCAAGCAAAACCATAGATTCGTAATACGAATTCCACTAGAATTTATCACCCAATTTCTTGATGTTACCTGCCATATTGCTAGACATTTTTTGTTTCTTCAACAAAGTAAGACACTTTTGGAAAGAACTTTGTGATATTATTTTATGTTATCAGCTAAAGCTAAAAAATTTCTGATGCCCATAATTAGGGGAGACCGGTGTTATAATGAACCCAGGGTTATAGTGAGAGTGGCTTTATTTTCTAGAGTATTTAACTCTAAGAGATAATTTTTTACCAAAACTATATACTTATATATTGCATATGCGGCTATAGTTTTTATTTCTATCGGACCGCTTGAAGAATTTTTATAATGCTTTATATCATTCGTACCTTCAAAAGTAACTTTTTACACTTTTACTATTTTTCAAAAATAAAGATTAATATACAATTTTACCACACAAAAATCATCTTACATAAAAGAAAAAATCCTATTTTATAGAATAACAATTTACCCGAACAAAATTGATAATATAAATACTTCAAAATATGATCTTAATCAAAGTGATGCTACTGGGGCTATTTTTGTGGGGTTAGGTCGAACCTTTTTTTTGCTATTTTTTAAAAATTTGACATGCAAAAAAAGCCAAGGAGAGACCAACTAAAAGAAAAAAAATCGAAAAATGTTATTATATGATAAATAATTGTTTGGTATACAAATAAATTATATCAAGCATAACAATCAAGACTGCTTTCAATGTCAGTTATTAGTTACATGGCTTTGCAATTTTATTGTTTTTTTATTTGCAAAGATTGTGAATGTTTTAAATGATTTTATATAACACTTTTATGTTTTAAATCATTAAATATATCCTAATAAAAAAATATATAACTTTTATATATGGAAAACTAAGCAGTTTATAATAGCCTCGACCAAGGGCTTGTTCGTCCCCGGGTAGGGTTCACTCGGTTACCAAAAAAAATTCCAGAAAAAATGATATTTTGAAAAAATTATTAGAGATGTATTTTTGAAATTTAAACATATCATAAAACTAATAGAGCTGAACAAAATGAGATATTTTTTATTAAAAATGATAAAGTACTTACAATTTTCTTAAGGTTTGCCTTTAGGGTTCGCCATAACCCCGTTCTCCCCTACAAGTTTTCAATAAATTAAAAAGAAAAAACTTGATGGTATTTAAAATGATTAGATGAAAAAGAGAAATCTATTTTATTACTTAGAATCTTTTTTTATTTTGAGCCAAAAAAAAGAAAAGCCTTAGCCTTAATTTCAATAAAAAAATGTTCTTAGAGCCAATCCCTTTATTTAACTTAATTTTCAGATTCAACTAAGTCAGTCGAAAAGTCGATAAATATAAAATTGTAACTTTCATGAAACTCCATTTGCGATATGATAATGCATTCGCTATAATGCATTCGCGATAATGCATTCGCTATAATGCATTCGCGATAATGCATTCGCGATAATGCATTCGCGATAATTCATTCGCTATAATGCATTCGCGATAATTCATTCGCTATAATGCATTCGCTATAATTCATTCGCTATAATGCATTCGCTATCGCTATAATGCATTCGCTATAATGCATTCGCTATAATGCATTCGCTATAATGCATTCGCTATAATATATTCGCGATAATTCATTCGCTATAATACATTCGCTATAATGCATTCGCTGTAATATATTCGCGATAATGCATTCGCGATAATTCATTCGCTGTAATATAATCGCTATAATACATTCGCGATAACATTTTCGCGGTATTACATTCGCGCTAATACATTCGCTATAATATTTTCGCTGTATTATATTCGCTATAGTGCATTCGCGGTAATGCATTCGTTATAATATATTCGCGATAATGCATTTGCTGTAATGCATTCGCTATAATATCTTTTCGCGGTAATCGACATTCGCTATAATGCATTCGCGATAATACATTTCGCGCTAAAATTTTCGCGGTATTGACATGTAACCGTTTAAAGGTAGTGCCTATTAAGACTAAGTTAATGGTAAACAGACTTAGGTGGTATGGGCACACAATGAGAAGGCCTATGAACTACATAGGAAATAAGGTTGAGAGTTTGGAAGTGATGAGCAAACGTAAAAGTGGAAGGTCAAAACTTCAATGGGGCCATAAAGTTAGCGCCAATATAAAGAAGTAAAGTAGATAAAAGAGATTGTATGAATAACATAAAGTGGAGAGAGATGTTGAAGGAGCTTACCACCAGAAAAGGTGAAAGCTAAAGGGAAAAAAAAACTATCTCTATTGAAATCAATATGAGCAGGACAATTATGTGGTTAAGATTTAATCAAAGTGTAATAATTGATTTCTTTACAAATAATAATCATTGCGCAATTATTAATAAAATATATTATACACTAGTTTAGAAAATATTTTATAAAAACTTACTAGTAAATTGCTACATAATATTATTATTTTATTATTATGGTTTTTAAAATCGAAAAAGAGTTTTATTTTAAAATCATATTTCTTTATGTTATTTTAAATTATATATAATCATAAATTCATACACTAAGGTAGAATTTGAGCGTAAATCAATGGTAAACATCCCATCATAGTTGAAACAACTGTCAGCACATATATTCATATTTGAGCTATATTTTGCTTTATTTGAAAATAAATATACGAAGTCCATATAAATAAATTTAAGATCTTAAAGAAATTACCTTAACTTTTTGCTATTTTGCGTTTTAAGGATACTTTTTAAATTATATTTTTTGGGGATTTATAAATTTAATTATCCTTTTTGTTTTATAAATTTTTTTTTTAAATTAAAAATGACGCAAAATTAATTCAACAATACCTGTAATAAACAAAATACAACAATTAAACAAGAATTATGTTATTAAACTCAAATTGAATAAAATATTCATTCTAGTTACCAGTTAAATTACTTTGAATAAAAGAAATGCATGGGGCTTAAAGTTTAATGCAAATAAACTAAAATTTTACCTACCTTTTTGATGTTGATACTAAAATTGCTTTTAATTTAGCTTTAATTAGAAATTATTATTTTTTTTAGGAGTAATTTCTCTTTATTTAACTTGACATAAAGAGGGTGAGATTTTTAATTACTTACAAATTGTATGCCAATTTTATATAAAGCATAATAATTTATTTTATTTAGAAATTATGTATTTAATAAATATAAAAATTCTTCAAAATTGTATATAATTTTGCCTGGTATACAAAAATGTAAAATATTTTTTTTCAGTTTTGTAAGCGAAATTACCTAAATTTATTTGATTGCTTAAAGGTTTATTCTAGATGAAACAAGAGCAAGATAATGTGGACAACGGGGCTTTTCAGATCTTTATATTTTTTAAAAATTAAATCTGATGTATAATTTGTGTTCCAAAGTTCCAGTATACATCTACAGTGGTGTAACCGCCTTTTCAACTTGAGAGGGCTTATAATTATCAAAAAATATGCAGAAAAATATAAATTCTATATATGACTATTTCCCCTCTTCATAACTTGAAATTTCGCTATATTGTAAATTATGGGGATATTATTTATCAGTTTTTGCAATTTTCCGATCGCTATATTATGTATATTTATATATTAGAGATATAGATAAAAAGTGAACTAAAAATTTGGAGTGGCTGAAATTTTATTCGTGATTTTTATATTTATTTTTGTATATAATATATCTGTTATAATCGACATCTATATGATATTCCCCCAAATTCAATAAAATGGGAACAACCAATGAAGAGATATATTGATCTTCTATTGAATGTATTTCTGATTGTGATGATTTTTAAATTATTATAATTTATATTATCATTTAAATAATATAAATTCATTTTCTATTTATTTTGTTTATATCCATTGTATTTATAGGTATATAAATAAAATATTTTTAGTGTTTAACTTCTTATTATCCAATTTTCCCGCTAAATTTTTGAAAATATGCCCAACTTAAATTCCCAAGAATTTTGCATCACTAATCATGCCACACCCTATAATTATCTCATCGAATTAGTTTTTTATTTTCAGAGCTTATATTTACACTTATAAATAGCATATGAAAATCGTTTTATTTAGACCTAGTTTTTAGCTATAACTTAAGATCTTCCATGTTTTGGCTTAATAAATGATTGTTTAAAAAAAATCGTTCTTAATTTAAATCGCGGACATCATTTTTATATATATTAATAAATTATTTTATTTCACAACCTTGAAAAGAATATATTTGTAAACTTTGGCTGTATTTTATTTTATTTTATTTTATTTTATTTTATTTTATTTTATTTTATTTTATTTTATTTATTTTATTTTATTTTATTTTATTTTATTTTATTTTATTTTATTTTATTTTATTTTATTTTATTTTATTTTATTTTATTTTATTTTATTTTATTTTATTTTATTTTATTTTATTTTATTTTATTTTATTTTATTTTATTTTATTTTATTTTATTTTATTTTATTTTATTTTATTTTATTTATTTTATTTTATTTTATTTTATTTTATTTTATTTTATTTTATTTTATTTTATTTTATTTTATTTTAATTTTATTTTATTTTATTTTATTTTATTTTTATTTTATTTTATTTTATTTTATTTTATTTTATTTTATTTTATTTTATTTTATTTTATTTTATTTTATTTTATTTTATTTTATTTTATTTATTTTATTTTATTTTATTTTATTTTATTTTATTTTATTTTATTTTATTTTATTTTATTTTATTTTATTTTATTTTATTTTATTTTATTTTATTTTATTTTATTTTATTTTATTTTATTTTATTTTATTTTATTTTATTTTATTTTATTTTATTTTATTTTATTTTATTTTATTTTATTTTATTTTATTTTATTTTTATTTTATTTTATTTTATTTTATTTTATTTTATTTTATTTTATTTTATTTTATTTTATTTTATTTTATTTTATTTTATTTTATTTTATTTTATTTTATTTTATTTTATTTTATTTTATTTTATTTTATTTTATTTTATTTTATTTATTTTATT